CTTTCTTTCCTCTAATCTCCCAAACTCTAACAGATTCCACTCCTTGATTTTGCCTTTTAGATATTGGAGCTTCTTATGAAACTTCATTCCACTCCATTTCACTGTCGGATTGCTTTCTAGCCACCACTCTTTGACTTTCTTTATGAACCCCGGGTGTCCTAGCCACATGTCTTCAAACCTAAAGGGAGCAGGACCAACACTTCTCACTTCCTCCCTACAGATTACAATAGGCCAATGGTCTGAAGTCACCCTTGGATATGCTCTAGAGTTTAGATTTCCCCAATGTTCTTCCCAATCATTTGAGAAGAGAAATCTATCCAGCTTAGAGCAAATCAGGTTCACTTGGAGATTGGACCAAGTAAAACAGCTGTGTGATAGTGGGATCTCTTTAAGCTCGTAAACATCCACAAACTGATTGAATTTCCTCATACTCAAGGTCGATCTCCGCCTCAGACTATTTGTCTCTTCCAGGAATCTTATAACATAAAAGTCACCTCCAAGACACCAAGGCCCTTCCCATAGTCCCCTTATATCGGCCAGTTCTTCCCACAACTTCCTTCTCTCTCTGTAATCATTTGGACCATATACATTGGTAAACACCCATTCAAACCCATCCTCCACTTGTTTAAACTTCAAGGAAATTGAAAATTGGCCTATTAACTCTTCCTGACCTATGAGTACTTCATTCTTCCACATTGTGACAACACCCCCCACAGTCCCCCAAGAAGGTAGAGCCGCCCAGCTAATCCCCCTGCCTCTCCAAACACTCCTTGCCCACCTAATGCCAAAATCTGCTCTCTTGGTCTCTCCTGCAAAAGTACCACATCTGGGTCTGTTTTCTTGATGGCCTCTTTTCTTACTGCTCTCTTCCTAGCACTTCCCAAACCTCTGACATTCCAGCTTAAGATCCTCATCTAACTATCTTCTTTCCCCTTAGACCCTCCTGCCCTCAGTTATTCCTCTTCCTTCTTTCTCCTTTAACCTTCAAACTTCTATCTCCTCCCACCTCCTTTAGCAGCCTTTCAGCCTCACTCACTCTTCTACTTTTAGATTTTGCTTCTTCTTTCTTTGTTTTCAAAAATACTTTGAGAGCATTTGGATCTTTCAATTTGCACCCCAGTTTCTGTACAAAACCYGCCACAGAATCCTCACTAATTACATCTCTTACACTTGAATTTCTACTTCCCTCCCCTATTGTTGTCTCCCCCCTTCCATCTCCTTCCTCCTCAGAACCCTCTACTCTAACTCCCTCTGACCCTTTCTTTTAACTGTTTTCCACCACTGCTTCATTTAATAGACACTCTAGGATTTCCAGGATTCCCAGGATTCTTTTCTTTTTTTCTGTTTCTCCTTCATTCCCTACTTCTCTCTCCTGACCCTCCCTGTTGCTTCTATTTTCTCTCACCCCATCCCCTCCTTCAAGGGCTGCAACATCTGGGTTGGGATCTGTATTTGGCACGAAAGTCAAAAAGCAACAATTAGTATCACAAAACGAAAGGACATGATTACCTGGGTTGTGGTGGGGAAGATGGGGAGTGTTGGAGTTGGATACAGAAACAGTCTGGCCTTGATAAGGAATGTGGGTTCCATCTGGTTCCAAGGCTCGGTTCTGATTAGTTAGCCTTTCCGTTACCTCTGTTAAACAGAGATCACAACTCTTACCCACCTGTTTATGCCTCCTCACTGTGTCCCCGTATTGCTTTTGAGAAGTCTCGAGGTATTCCTTACAAAAAACCTATTCAGCAAGGAGATTTTGAGATGGAGCTTCTGAGTGTGAGTTAGAGTTTCCACCCCCAGAGTTCGAAATGTGTTCAGCGACAACAATGTATGGCTCTTCCTCAGCACAGTGAGACGTTACCGCACCTGGTCTTTGTGAGAACAATGTATCCAGATCAAAAGTTGCAGCAGCTTCTTCCTCTGAAAGCTTCTCACCCAAAACACTGCCTAAACTGGACTGGCTATCCGAAACTTCTTCCATTTCTTCTTCCTCCATTTCGCAGTCCACCCAGCCCTCGTCAAAACCATCCTTTTCCTCGAGATGAGCTCAATCGTACCTAGGGTTTGGTCTGTCTTGTGATGTTCGTCCCTCCCTGGGTGTTTCAGGAACTGCGTGAGGCACCCACCGAAGAGTACTTGAGCTTTGCTCTGACTGCCTGAGATCACCTACAACGCCCCCGTCCAAAATTTTCAAAGAAGAAGAAGAAGATAGACGATGTTTATCGTCTATAGTCCCCAACCATCTCCCCCGACCCACGTGCTCACTTAAACAATAATGTGGGTAGGGATTCCCCCTTCTGGCTGAGCCGATCGGTCCACCCACTGGTTCAAATGACCCGGCCTGCAAAAATCTCCCTTTCTTAACCACGTCAGCGAAGGTGTCTTGTCCCTTCGAATTACCAGCTAATTCAAAAAATTTTGAATTTATTTCTTTTAATAGATTTCGTGGCTTTTGGTTCTCTCCCACCGACTTTTCAGCTTCCCTTCTAAGGCCCCTATGTTCAGTCTTACCCTCCAGCTGTAGGCCCCTAGTAATCCAACCCTCCACGTCAGCATCGTCTTCTACCTTGGGTCTTCATCTCCACAACTCTGCCTCCACCTCTGAAACCAACCATACTTTAAAACATGTACCTTCAGCAAAAACCTCTATTGTTCTTGGGAGCGATTCCGGTCTCACCCTGACCATCCTAACCACAGCGGCACGAAAGTCTTGCAGATGGACTTCCTCCATTTCTCCGCCCAGCAGCTTCACATTATTTCCCAGATTTGCTTCACTCCAGAGATGGAAGGGAAGACCTACCAATTTGAGCAAGAAACTTCCGTAGACATGTTCCATCTCATTACACAACAGTTTCCAGTTTTGAATCTGAATCAAACCTTCTTCACATTCAAAAGATGTAAATCCCCTGATTTTTTCATCGCCAATTCTCAACACTACCTTCCTGTCTGAGAATGGTTTCAGAGCAACCTCGGACTCCAGCTTCAAGTTGTGCACCACTGAGTTTAGGGCCTTCCTCCAATCTTATATTGCTTTGCTCGCTGAGATCACCATTCTCCGCTCCCAGTCTTCTTTCTCACCCTCAAACCACAGCTTCACCCCTGTATTAGAGCTCGAAATAAGTTCACCGTCACTGCATGAGCTCTTCTTCAACGGCTTCTCCAGGCTTTTAATGGGTGCTGAACTTTGTTCTTGCTCCAACACCACATCGACAGAGACAAGAAACTGCTGCAACCCCTACGCAAAG